TGAACCATGTGTTTGTGGAACATCCAAACTCTCTTGCTGACCAAAGCATTATTCCCTTCACGTTCACGTGAATAGCCGCCTGCTTGCTGTCAACATGTTGGACAAAGCTCGCCTGGCGAACTTCTCATTGATTCTTGAAGGGGCGACTATTCGCCCGATCTCACGCACACTGAAGGGTCCATTCAGAAGACCGAGGTTGCGTAGAGTAATCAATTCTAGAAATGAATAGTCGTAGCCTCCTTATTTTCTCCGATCCCCAACCCATCAACGATACGATGCTCTCGCAGCGGAGGCATCGCAGAGGTCAAGCATCCCAGTTTCTTTCTCCTGCAGCCCAAGCACTGCAAAATGGCATCGGTAAATCGAAGTATAATATTGTAATATGTGGTTTGGGAGAAATTGTATATGATCTGTCTGTTCATGTGCGACTTCTGAGGGGTCTTGTGTTCTATGTTCAAAGTACCAGACTCTAGATGCCGGACTCGGAGATCGACCATGACAAGCTTCCAATCATCGGTGATTTCGCCAAACTGTTCTAATATCTCCAAAGAGCCAGGGAGAAGGTATTCCAAAGCCTGGGAGCAGAGAGATGCTCCCATAGTTGACATGAGGTGGAGGAATCACGTTGCAGAGATCGCCACCAAGTTAGCGGTTGCCAATTTTTGCTGGCCGTTTAATGGTCAGTTTGATAGGTAGTTTAATCACCAGCGCCATTTACATCGAGATGACCACGTCATGGACAGCGTTGCTTCGACTCAACTTCAGAGAAATCGAGTCCCTAAGGAGCCTAGTCCAAGCTGTGGCGAGGGATTCGATTCGTCATCGAGTCACTCATGCTTAACCTATTTATCCAAGAGACTAGCCTATTTTAGAGTATATTCCGAAGAAACGACATTTTACTGACGTGTAGGAAGGTGCCAAATGTCCATAGGGGGGAACAAGATTTGGAACAGACTGTAGTGTATAATAGATTCCAGGCTACAGAATATTTAGCAGCACCCTGTATATCCGAGGTGGCTTTTTAGCAACCTTTCAGTTAACTCTAACAGTATCCAGGCAACTTGGTAGTAAGCCATTGAAGTCTTGGCCCAGGTTCTCCGTGTATTTATATGACTTCTTTATAATAATAGGCGTGAACGGGAAAACTCGCTCTTGCACAGGGCTCAGGTCTAGTGGGAGTATTCATTAGGCTATTCCTGAGACCTCTCCTACTACTCAAAAGACTCTCGAAGACTCGGAGACATTGGACCACCGTGGTATATAGAAGATCAAGACCCGAGATAGCTGACGCTCCTATTGATCCCCATGTCCCTTCGATCTTGTCACGGTGGCAGTAACTGCGCTTTCTGGCCTGTAGCTGGGACACGGCTGATTCGTAACACTTGCCCCAATTTGATATGAAACCTCTTCTCTCAAGCCCGGCAACAGCAAGCAAGAAAGGCCTGAGCCTTCCACGCTCTAGAGTCTAGCTTTACGTTTACCCCGCGGGCCTCGACCTCGCCTCGGGCAAAATTGAACCATTTGACTAGCAGAGTGCAACCTCGGCGCCGAGCCCATTTAACGAGAACAACACGCCGAATCTTGGGATGTCTGAAACCGCCGTGACTGGGCGTTACGGACACACTTCCAGACCTTGGTGTGCTATTCACCGACTACCTTCCTGGAGCCGCAAAGTAGCGTATTTATAAACATTCGACTGGATCAGCCTCGACCCCGCTTTAACCTGTAGAGAATTCAAATTGTTTACTTGTAAATTCACTCATCATGTATCACGTCACATCTGCATACAATATCCTGGTACGTTTTGGACATCCGTGTAGTCTTAGTCCATGAACTGACCATTCCCAGGTGGTGCTGGCGGTCACCATGGGGAGCTTCACCTACGGCTACTGTGCATCGATCCTGGCGAATATATATAGCCACGCTGCATTTTACGAATACTTGGGCCTTTCTCTTGAAGGCCCGGGGGCGTCACACACAAACAGCCTGATTGCAGCATTCAGCGCCTTGCTCTACGTGGGCGGCTTCATCGGGTGTTGTCTTTATCCGCTATCCGCCTCCAGATTTGGCCGGCGCATCCCTCTGGGCGTGGGATCCGTGTTTGTTATTGTAGGTGGAGCATTGCAAGCCGGCACGGTCCACAGCGCCATGATGTGCGTGGCGCGTATCATGACAGGCATTGGAATTGGGCACTTCCTTCCCGGTTGCCCACTGTACCAGGCTGAGGTTGCGCCTGCCCATAATAGAGGCTTTATGGTCGGCCTCCATGCGAGTGTAGTGGGAGCAGGCTTTACCGTCGCACAGTGGATCGGGGTTGCATTTTTCCACACAGCCGGACAGGCAGGCTGGCGGGCACCGCTCGCTCTGCAGTGCGTCTCGCCTCTGGCTATGCTATTTGTGGTTCCCTTTCTGCCAGAGAGCCCTCGTTGGTGTGAGTGTGGTCCTTCCCTGTCAGTGCATTATTCGTGCCAACCCTTATTCAACCTAGTGTACTTGACTGGGCACGTCGAGCAAGCAGAGAAGACTATCCTGCGACTACATCGAGACAGAGCGGACCCCTCCAACTCATACGCACACCATGAATTCCAAAGTATCAAGGCCCAGCTCGATCTCGAAGCAGAAAACAAGCGAACCCTCTGGGATGGTCTTGCAGATCCGCACATGCGCAAGCGTTTTATCTTTGGGTTCTTGGTAAATACCGCCTCGCAGTCCAGTGGCTCCATTGTGATCTTGAGTAAGTTGACACAGGTGTGTGCGGATATTAGGCTTGGATGCTAACCCTGCTCAGCATACTCTTCTGTCATCTATGCAAGGTTGGGGTTCAGTGCATTCCTTCAAGGTATCTTGGCCGGGGTCTGGACTGTTCTCCTTACGATCTTCAATTTATTAGGCGGCATTATTACCGACAAGATTGGTCGGGTTAAACAACTTGGTAGTTTCTCCTTGGACTTTGGTTTTGGTGGCTGCTGACCAGCTTTCCAGTGATCGGACTCTTGGGCTGCTTACTCTGCCTGATCATCTCGGCAGCTTTGAGCGCGACCTACGCAGGGAAGGACAACAGAGCAGCCAATACCGCAGGCACCTTTTTCATTTTCCTTTTTGTGTGCTTGTAAGTAAAGTTCAGGTCATCGAAAGTCCTCATTACTGATGCACTCAAAGTTTCGCGGCGGGAGTTGAATGTCCATCGTTTGTGTACAGTTCGGAAATCTTTCCTGCCGCCTGGAGAGCTTCGGGAGTTGGTGTGTCGTTGTCCGCTGTCCAGCTATGGTCGGCCATTCTCACTGGGGCTGCTGCAATAGCCTTTGAACATATTAAATGGTAGACTCTTTGTGGCGTGCCGCTTGACCCTGGATCTAGCGCGAAACTGACCACACATTCCAGGAAGTTTTACCTTGTCTTTATTTGTTTCACCACAGTGATGGCAGCCGTTGTCCTGCTGTTTTTCCCCGAGGCAAGATATTCCACCGTCCAAAATGGAGGTCAAATGCTAATCGATGCTTAGACCAAAGGACTTACACTTGAGCAGATCAGCAAGGCATTTGGAGACGTCATTGTTGAAGATATGACACCCCTTGATAATTTTTCCCACGATAAAGTCTCGAGCCAAGAGCAGGTGTATTCGGAGCATGAATTTATGGACGTTGACGCCCGAAAAGGCACTATGGGCTAAGTTGCCGCGAGGCCAGAGCAGGGCGGTCGTCTGAGACCACCAAATGATTTGATTGCAGGACATATTGCACTTCTGATTACCTGCACTTTTGGCTATATAGTTATGACTTTTCAGCTGCCTCTAATACTATATAGCACACGCGTTGATACAGCAGAAAACTAGAGGCCGAGAATTCACACATTTCCTGTGCCAGTCTGGGATCTGTCGGTGCTTGTGTCCGCCGTCGCTGACCGTTAAGGGGACGGAACGAGACCCTAGAACTAGCTCTGACCTTCGCTTGTAACGTAAAAGGTGTCCTGATTTGCCAGCCTTGATGGCCAGTCGACTGATTACTCAATCAGGCCGTATGATTGTCGATTGGGGAGTGGTATCTTTGCGCGGGTGACTACCTAACTTTTGGAGCACGTTGCAGAGACTTCAGTAGTGTAATTGGTGTTTCGGAGAATTAGTCGTTTTCTGTGGCTTCGAGTGAGCTAGGTATCAGTGGTTCTTCTGATATGTGTGCATGATATTTATTGTCTTTGACTTCGGTGGCTTTTAGGTTGTAGGTGGCATCCTTCTCCCATTTTGCTTGTGCTGCTTAACCCACTAGCCCGAAGTGTCGGCTAATCCTAACCATAGAGGGTAGGTTTCCCGATCACGTGTATGGCGGAATTCTCCACACGCAAGTTCGCTGCCGCGACATAGTATCAACAGGTTATCACGGACCTTTTCGTCCAACACGAAGAGCGAGAATCCAAGAGATGGGACAAGGGGAGTCCATTACTATTATGCAGAACCGCAATGGGAGTTAGCTCCTAAGCATGTTGGTGTATTAACTGACTATTGCAATGGGAAACCTCGCTCTGGATCCAAATCTAGCACCGCCGTTCGATGCACCCTGGCTTTTTCTTTGACGAGAGCACAAGAACTGGCGCCGACACTATATGGCCATCTCCTTTCCCAACACGACCAGAAGCTCGGTTAGAGAGTCCTTCAGATCCATCACCGCCAATTCTATGAGCTTGGTGCGTGAACAGGCTGGTTTATCAAGCGTATGAGCCTCGGTGCTCGGTGAGAGCGATCGGCCCGAGCTTTGCCTGCTGCGTTCTTCACGGTGTGCTAACATTTTACGCTGAACATCAGGTCTCAAGCTCTAGCAAGCTTGTACATGCACAGAGTTCATAAACAAGTAAAGTTGCGCCCCTTTTGACCACTGGTGGTCGATGCATGAGAATTTGCCTTTCCCTTACATCCATTTCCACTTATTAATGCCGACCCGGAAATCAAGGAGCAAGCTCAATCAACAATTTCCACATTCTCATAGTTTGTACTCAGCGACCCTGGAAACATGGGCAGCGATGATGAACCCTTTTTCGGGCCTAGCAGCACTGTACACATCCCAACAAAAGACCTCCTCTCTTGGATCTTCGACGAAGCCAAATATTCGCCAGATGAACCGGTGAGTCGATCATCGTGCGAATCTATCCGATCTCATCGTGTTTAGATCTACATTGACCCTGGAGATCCGAGACGTTCCCTCAGCCTGAGGCAAGCGAAGCATCTGATACGACGCCTCATTGCCGGGTTTCGGTCGAGGTCGCTGGCGAAAGGCGATTGCATTTGTGTGCACTCTTTCAATGATGTGAGCCCCGGATGTAGAAACCCTTCAGCTGTCGGCATCCGCTGAGCTATGAGGCAGCTGTATTACTCCTGTGTCTTTCTAGCCGCTGTGGGGGCGGGATTGACCTGGACTGGAACAAACCCTGGCTATACCAACTACGAACTGCAACACCACCTGAAGGCGTCCAAAACGAAGCTGGTAATAGCACAGCCTGACCTGTACGATGGCATACTAGCAGCCGCAAAATCTTGCAACATTCCCGAGGAGAATGTGCTCAAGTTCGATTCGCTGTCACAAGAGGACTTTTCTTCGATTTCGTGGAAAATCTTGCTACAAAATGGAGCGCAAGACTGGGTACGGTTCGAGGACAAGTCCGTCGCAGAGTCTACTACTGCTTGTATCCTGTTCAGCTCAGGAACCACTGGCCTGCCCAAGGCTGCGTGCCTCTCGCATTACAACCTCGTTGCCCAGCACACCTTACTCCAAGAGCAAGTACAAAAGCCATACAGAGTGGGATACCCATCCTAATCTTGATTCTCTCGTATTTTAACTCCTTTCAGGTGAAACGAATTCTCTGTCTGCCCTTCTTCCACGCCGCCATGGCCATAATCGGGCACATAACTCCGCTGCGCTCGGGTCACATCGCCTACGTTATGCCGCGATTCCAAGTTGAGGATTTCCTCCGCTTCACCGAGAAGTATGAGGTGACGGAACTGTTCGTTGTACCGCCAATCATCGTCTCAATTCTGCAGTCTCCTTTGATCCAAAAATACTCTTTAAGAAGCCTACGGTCGGGCATGACAGGTGGCGCTAAAATAGACCTTTTGTCTCAGAAAAGGTTTACGGCTCTGATGCACCCGGAAGGCTGCATCAACCCTTGCTATGGAATGACTGAGCTCAGCTGTATTGGATCATGTTACCCCTGGCCAGAATTAGACATCGATGGAAGCGTAGGCTACTTTCTGCCTAATCTGGAGGTCAAGTGAGTCCGAGACCAATGGACGAATTGGAGATTCAACCGAGCTGACTTGCGGAACGGCTCGTGGATGACGATGGACAGGAGGTTCGGGCTTACAACAAAATCGGGGAGATATGGATTCGCGGTCCAACTGTGATCAAAGGTTACCTCGACAATCCTGAAGCGAATTCGTTGTCCTTCTCTGGAAGATGGTTCCACACTGGTGACGTCGCGTATTGTGATGGGAAGACCAAAAAGTGGTATATTGTGGACAGGAAAAAGGTACAGTCTGCCCCTGCATCATGATACCCGATTCTAATTTCCGCGCCGAATATAGGAGTTGATCAAGGTTCGAGGCTTCCAGGTCGCACCACCTGAGCTAGAAGGCGTGCTGATGTCACATCCTTTAATATCTGATGCTGCGGTGATTGGGGTACCGTCCTCTGATCCTGTGGATGGAGAGCTTCCTCGGGCATACATTGTGCGAAGACCAGGGCATGATGCCGATGCACTGAGTGAAGACCAGGTCAAACAGTACGTTGCAGGGCGTCTTGCCAAATATAAACAGCTGAACGGCGGCATCGTCTTTGTGCAGAGCCTGCCAAAGACGGCCAGTGGGAAGTATCTCAAGAGGAATCTACGGGACCTTTACCAGAAGGAAGCTTCTAGTTCAACACTGAAGTTGTAAGTGAGTATCTAGCGCGTTAGACGTTGTGGGCTTCGGGTTTGGCGGCGCATGCTGCAATGCCCTCGCTAGCCCCCGGCTGAGCTTTGTGAAAATCTCAGTCCGCGGTGGAGCATGATAGAATTGTGTCATGCCGACAGATGCCACGAACAGCAGCACAGCAGCTAAGGAGTCCTCGATCGTGGGCAAGGCTGAGCGTTGCCAAACATTCGCTACACTTGTTGTCTTTTTTTTAGTCGCTTTTCTTGTTGAATGGGAAATTGAAGCACCTCTGCTCACATCACCAGCACAATCTATCCAAACACCTCCTGCTAGAATGTCAAGAAGTATTAAACAATGCCGACCTCGAGATTTGAGGCTGGGATGCGCACAATCCTCCTCTGGCAGAACTTCTCCGGTCGGTTTGAACGCAGCCAACGGAGTAATGAGGCATCTGCAGAGCCCAGGAGATGTACTTCGTATGCAACGACGCAAACGTGAGTTAGTTGACGCGAATAGCACTGGACGAGCAGCTATAGACTGGGCGAGGCAAGACGCTGCCACATACCCGCACGCAAACAAGGTGCCGAGCTGCTCGGGGTGGGGATTCGTCGGCAAGAGCACCCGTACCAGACGATGAGTGGCCTAGTGGAGCGGGGGAGGGGTCTCGTATGGTTGGCTGCCGTCACCCCTCGGCGCCGGAGCTCGGCATGTGTTATGTCTGCAATCCCCGCCGAGCCGCATCCACGGCCAAGCTGGCGGGGGACCGGGATAGTCCGGGGACTGGGGGCGGAGAGGGATCCTCGTCTCCCCGCCTCCTTCCTCCGCAGCAAACTGCAGCCTCGGCCTGCCCTCTGCGTGGCCGTTCATGCCTGGCATAGACAACAACAACAACAACTTCGTCCAGCTTCAACCTGCATGGTTCGGTATCGTCGTCCTCTCTTCAGCCCTGGGTGAGCGGCTCTCTATGCAATGGCACTCACTGATGCACCGTCCGAAAGGCGGGTTTGTCTCGACCAGAGGCCAGCCAAGCGACCCCGAGCATGCATTCACTGCCATGTCCGAAAGTCCGCTGCAACGCCTGGCAAATAGGTATTCCATGTACGAGATGCAAGCGGCGCAACGAAGCGAACACATGTGCTCTCGCCAGCACCCCCCATAGAGGCGTCGCCCCGTGAGTCCGCCCCCCGTTTTGCAAGGCATTTTTCGTCCTTCTGACGCCGTCGTCTTCTCAAGGAGTTCTATCAAACGACGGCGAGTTCCGCTACATGCGCCGGCTGCAGAACGTGCTCTGCCCCATCAAGCCAGCAATCATAGTTTTGGTACCGATCTGGTACGTTTCCGGGCGCAGACGGCTTTATATTCCTGTGGGTTGACCCAGGCAGTAGTTTGCTTCTCTCGAGCTGTCCGACACTCCATTGGAAGAATATGCTATGGCTGTAAGGGGGCGTACCTCGTCCGACGCGACCAATATCGAAGTCGCGCAGCAAGAAGGCCTTGCACAACCAAAGGCATCGCCTTCAATCCGCCATGCAGCTATCGTTGAGCAAGACGGGAGTACCAGTAGCATGACCTATTCTCTTACAAGAGAGGAGGATGTCCACTTTCGCATCTGTGAGGAAATATCACGTAGCAGACAGGGACTTCTCTCCCCCTCGCCTCAATCACAGAACACCCATCGGTGCGAGGTTATGGAACTACATGAAGGAGTGAACCCGATGACCATTCTTGGACAGGCATTGGGCCAGCAACACCCTAATCGCTTCGTCAGGTTCATGGTCGAGGAGGACGTTTCCAAGCCCGACCTAGGACACTCGTTTCCTGGCCTCGACACGGCAGACGTCGCGTATCTAGAGGCCAAAGCCGGTCTAAGCTTTCCACCACAACCAGTTTGGTATGTCCCTCGGCTGTCCCTGGTCTATTGCACGTGCTGCTGACTCCCGGGTGCCAGTGACGAACTTCTCCGCCTGCACTTTGTCCGCGTCTATCCTTATGCACCAATACTTGACCGAGTCTGGTTGGGAGGAGGATGGGGAGATACCGGAGGAGCTACGGGATGTGCTCGGCCTGGTGTCACCGCTTCAGAAGCTTTTCATGGTGGAGTACAGTAAGATGTCAATTATTAGTAAGGCTACGGCGCGGCTCTTGGGTCATAACTCCTGTGCATGTAGAAGCTGACAGACGGTCTAATCTCAGGCGCCCTCTTCATTCGAGACTTCAAAACCCCTGGCAAAATACCAAGTCGAGATGAGATTGAGCAACTGAGCAACCAGATCACCAATTGGTGAAAGTAGTTGCCTGTCGAAATAATCTATGCTCTCCAGGATGAATGGACCTGCGACCATATCCTAGTCTTGGTGTTGTTGGTGATGGGTTATCGCTTAGAGGCAGTCTTCTACCAGGCGGTCAAAGAACATCATCGATCAAGAAGAGACTATACTTCCATGAAAAGGATGGCTCAACGGCAGGAGAAAGCAATGTTCGAACTCTCTGCCATGATCCAACGTGCCACGATGCATGAGGTGCTTCATTTATGTTCCTTGTCCTTGTGAGTGGCCCTTGGCTCTGCGCTCTATATCCATCTTCCCACTCCTCTCCCCGTTCCCGCTCAAAACCGAGCCCTCCTTCAACGGAACCACAATACTAACCGCGCACACCCTCGTCACAGTATGACTTGCGCATCCACTACTCTAGCCATGCGCATTGAGATTGCTCTCGATCCGACCATCAGTCCCCAAAAGTTGGTGGTAACAAAGGCCCAGATCTTCTCGGAACTGGAACATGTGCGAGAAAGCTGTGAGTACTCGATCAGTCTCATCTGGACCCTTAGGATGTTCGAAGCTGTCATCGCGCGCACGCATCTAAGCCCTACGGGCACGTCACCCACCGAGCCTTCGGAAGGAGATGAGAATTCGACATCAATAAATGCTCCAGCCAGTAACCCCAATGGCCAGTACCGACCGGCTGCGTGCTCTAGCAATAGGTTATTTGAGGAGGATGACGAGGTCGATTTCAATTTACCCTTGACCGACGACGTGTTTGGCATCTTACCGGTTACCGAGAACTACGATTGGCTAGAGAACCTCTTTGGTCGGGGCAGTAATGATATTACCGACCCGTTAGGGGCCGTCTAATAGAGGACGGGTAGAGTTCCCTTTATAAAAGAGGATTTGGGTCGACTAAACTGTTTATAAGTTGCGATTTATCCATATGAGACTCTCACGGATCTTCTGTCTGGCCTACCTTCCGTTGACTTGGCCCGTCGTTAGACACGACGACGCGAGCGGCTGAGAAACAGAGGCTAGGCACTGAATTGGCATTGAGCGTGTTTGGCCTTCTGCAGGGGTACGTCGCCTGCACCCACCGCCAGTGGCACCTCTGTGATTAAAAGGGTCGCTTTACGGAAGTTCAAAGCCCTCGGAAGGGCGGAGGAAAGGGATGTTGTACGGCTTGCCGCGACAGATATTGCCATGAGCGATTTTGAGGCCGAGAGCCCAGGAGTCAAAGTCGGGCACAATCCGAGACGGGAATTGGCATAGGCGATCCTACCGACGGATCAGCCTCTGCTCAGAACCCTAGGTCCTCAAAAAGTGGTGCGGATAAATAGTAGACCTGAGAATGCCAATTTTTCAGGCCTTGGAATGCCTTCCAGATAGAACCATCTCATATATCAAAGGCAGATGAAGACCATCACAAGACTTAGGCCCTTCTTTGAGTCCCTCGCCTTTCGTGTTGTACTTTATGGGACACACCGGCAGACATGTTAGACGAATCGCCCGTGATAACTTGATTGAATCAACAGAAATCTATCTACTAGTAGAGGCCTTTGTGTGTGGGGAGAATGTGACTCAATAGAGGACGTGATGGATTTCAACAAGCCCTCGTGGATTTATCTTACTATATATCATCTGCGAGATCACCGATGGTAGTAAAGTACACTTGATCACAACAGGGCAAGGTCTGAACAAGGCTGTCGACGCTAGTCCGAGTCACAAGAATCCTGCAGTGTCGCCATCGGTCGGTAACCCTGCCCTGGATGGTTAGGGCTGGACCAACAAGAGATATTATACCATCATCGGCTAACCTTGTCGGACGTCGTTCGAACCCTCCGGCATCCATTTGGGGTGGTGTAGCGTCTCTTACAAAATATCCTCACCTTCACTGGAGAGTTGGGAGCTCTTCAAAAGGCGGCAATCTTGGAAAGCAGGCTATATTAAGGTTAAAATCGACTTCCTTTCAAAAGAGTGCCAGGAAACTAAGAAACAAAACAAAGCGTCACGAGGCTCAGGCTTGCCGAAAGATGGGTATCAACCAGGAAGTGAATCGTCTATATAGAGCTGCCCAACAGACGTAGATAGTTTATTAGCTAGATCACCCCCCATCGATGGGCTGCCATTGTTGACAATCCACGATCGCTCTACTTGAAAGTCGTGGAGGAACGCCCAGTGGAGCCGCTGTTTCCACCCTTTACTTTTCCAGCCGTTGATAGTCTTTGGATACAGGTCAATGACGTCGGCCGCGTCCGAGTCGTGAGTAGTCAGAACCAAGACATCCTCGCTCGCGTCGAATTCTTCCAGCTTCCGCTGACTTCGCATCGCCTCCTTGACCGTATCGGAGTTGTGAGGATTGTTCAGTTCATAGAAGGCTTCCGTTCGCGAATTTTTCGGGTGCACTCTCAAGAACAAGGAGCTGGGACAAGGCGACCGCAAGGGCCTCAGCTTGCCCTTGGCGGTCACGGGCAGATCGATCGACTCGGGCAGGGGCTGATATGGACTTGGGCGGAGCTCTCCTCCATGATGGCAGCAATCCGCAGCCATGAGGACAAAGGTATCCGTGGTCGTTCGAGCCAGGCCCATTATATGGGCGACCGTGTGGCCAGGGCAATCGAGGAGATAAAAAGAACCGTCCCCGAAATAGTCGACTGCATCATACTGGCCCAACTTCAAACCAGCCTCGCCGAAATTCAGCTCGACGAATTCCCGACCCCCGTAGTCGCTCTCCTTGATCCATGAATCCTGGTTGGCGGGATAGCCGGGCAGAAACTCGTCCTTGAAACCCTGGCCAACGACGAGAGCGGTTGAGGGTGGAAACGTCGACGGATCCCCAATATGGTCAAAGTGATGGTGTGACCAAATTATTGCCGAGATATTGAATACTTCGTCCCCGAGGATGTCGGACACATTGACTTGTGAAGAGATGCTCATGGCCTTGGTGAAGGCATAGGTCCTGGGCGAGAGGTTTTCAGGGTCTTTTCGAATACCCAGGTCGAAGAGGATCTTTTCCCCCGTCGCCTGGTGTCCGATCAGGAATGAATAGCAGGGGCAATTGAACTCATCGTGCCCGATAATGTGAGGCTGGACGACTACACTGGTTTTGGCAATGATCCTGGAGCTTGTCTCGATCACCGAAACGGAGACGGTCGACGGAGACCAGGGTATGTTGAGAGATGGTGAAGGCGTCATTCTTCCGATCAGGACGTCTATCAAAGCTGCGACTGGGTGAAATGCCTCCAAAAGCCTGTCGTGAGGTTCAAGGGGCTGGGCTCTCGTGCATCTCTTGCCCTTTCGGTAACCTATTTGTAGTATGGGGAAGAGTGGGTCTTGTGTTATTCGAAGCTCGGGCCGAACCCGGTAGAAGGTCAAGCTCAGCGCCCAAGCGTGCCCGACGCCGAAGGACATTGCCAATTCAAAAGAAACAAGAAAATCCAATCAGGGCTTGCCTATGTGCCGACATTTGCTCGTCGCGAAGGAAAGACGACTGCGACATAGCGAAGATATCCCAGGACGAAACGAAGAAAGGCTTGCTCCCGCAACCAGAGAGAAGGTCACCAGCATGGCATACCCAGCATACCAGAAGGGAATCGTTACCCTTGACGCCGCCGTCAAGGCAGGAGGTCTCTCGGGGAAAGGCGTTATTATCACTGGAGGTGGGCTTTCTCATTGATACTGGCTCTCCTCCACCTCCCCCTTCCCCAAAAATCCCAAGAGTCAATGCACTGATGAGGCTCGGACAGGCGCAAAAGGTATGGGGGAAGAAGGGGTCCGGGCTTTTGTTGCGGCAGGGTAATGTCGCTGGAACCCTCTAATAGAACGCTGTACTCACTGGATTGAATCAAGGGCTCACGTCACATTTGGTGACACGGACGAACAGAATGGACTGAAACTCGAGGCAGAATTGGCACCGTGAGTCTGGTCCTGGTCTCGAGTTGAATGTCTGACCGCAAGCAGGAATGCTAATTTCATCCGCTGCGACGTGACGTCCTGGGATGATCAATTGGCCATGTTCAAGCTGGCCATAAGCAAATCGCCACGTAAGACTATTGACATAGTGGTTGCAAATGCAGGCATCAGTGGCCCGGATGATGTCTTTAGTGTCGAAGGTCAGAGTCCGCATAAGTCAACAGGAGACCCCCTAACGCAGGTCCAGATACCGACGAGCCGGTCAAGCCCCAGCTGAAGATCGTCAACATCGACCTGATAGGAGTCCTATACACGTTGAAGCTGGCGCGTCACTATTTCATGAAGCATTCGCTTGATACCAACTATGATCGCTGCTTCATCGTCAACGCTAGCTTGGTTGGATTTCTGGACGTACCGGGTATCCCCCAGTACATGGCATCGAAATGGGGGTGCCGGGGGTTGATGAGATGCATTCGACGCACTACCGCAGTGGATGGGGTTCGCATGAACCTCACTGGGCCGTGGTAAGATTGTGGCACGCACTATGACGACCTCACACACTCTAACAGATGCTCAAAGGTATGTTGGCACCACGATCCTTAGCCCTACGGTTCAGGAGTATTGCAAAAGCAAAGGAATCGTATTTGCGGAGGCAGAGGATGCAGCCAGTGCATGGGTCAAGATCGCCTCGACTCCTACGATTAACGGTAAGATCTCCCCTCCACGAGTTCCGTTTGAAATGAGGAACGGGACCCGGTGCTGAGCCTCGATGTCAGGGCGGTCCTTTGGAATTGTTCCCCGTGGCACCACGCCACAGGGCTTTCTTGATCTAGGGAAAGACGACTATGCCGACGGAGAATACTTGGACGAGCTTCAGGATATCTTGCTGAGGACGTCCCATCGGCTGGCGGTCAAGGCTGAGAGCCAGTGAGACATAGCGGCCCGCATAATCTCGACGAGGACCGAGCAATTACGTTTCCGAGAATATGCTCCGCGAGTGTAACGTACACCAGAGGGATTCGTACAATATGCAGTTAACCTGAAAAGTATCTGCTCATTGCAATGTTCATCTTACGAGAACGCAGATCTAAGTCTCTCAGTCTGCTTGCAGCTTCTCGAACAATCCGTGTGTTGCAGTATTCTCTTGAGCCAAGGTTCGGTAAAAGACCAACATAGCCACCGGAAGGCACTGGCGCCCCTAGGCTCGGTCAAGATGTACGATCACCATATCTCATGTACAGTTTTTCGTCGTCTTCGAAGCCAAATCCCTCCAACAGAGGCCGTCCGTCAGGGTCAGCCCACTTTCCGTGGTAAATCTGCAGCATATCTCAGCAAAATGTCCGTGGCCCAGCGAACCTGGTGGAATCCACGCTGTAGGCTGATGAGTGAGGGATTGTTCGTACCTCGCCGTGCTTCTCCAGTTCCAGCAAAAATGGGGTGACAGCGAGCTTGCCATCTGGTCCATAGTAATCTATCGTCCAAGGCCCCGTAAAGCTAGAGCTCTCGTCTTTCCTGCCGCCGCTTGGGCCTCTTCAAACGGCACGACCGGTCCCAGTCTGGTTAGAAGGGAGGATGCGTGTCGACACCCATCTAGCATTCAATACAGGTTCAGCCCCACTCTGGTCCGCGGGTTCGACGGTATATCGAACTATACCGTCAAGGGCAAGTTTAAGTGGACCTATGTTGGAAGCCATGATCCGTTTTCGATGGTTTTACTATGATGGCGTGTTGAGTGCCTGGAGGATCTACGGTGAACTCTCAATCGATTATTCCAATCAATGCGTTATGAACCCGCCATATTGGTCCAACAAGACAAGCCAGAAAGCGACATTGCATGGCTTTAAGCAAGGAGAATTACAACCGTACTGCCCGATCCGTAGCGGCCCGGAATGATTTGGGGTGCTCACCACCTCTCGGCTTACATACAGAGTTGGTGACACCGAGGTACAACCCTCGATTTCGGCGTTGTAGGTGAGAAGCGACCGAACACACGACGGTGCTTTTTATTTGTTTTCTTTCTCTCTCCCTCTGTCCCTCTCTACTTTTCTCTACTTATACTGGCTAGCCTAGTGATCTAGGTGTTTTACTGAAGGTACCAAGGCCACTCATTCTCTCAGCATCATGGCAAACACTCTGCTCCTGATCTTGTCCCATCCATTGCAAGCACTGCTCTTCACGCATTCATTTTTCTCCCAAGTCCTGCTCGCTCTTCTACGCCGGCTGCTACTTCCACACTTTCCAGTCTACCAGCCTCTCCGGCTACAGGTGCACCGAGCCTATCTTGCCGCTGCGGCTTTGGCCTTTCCAAATCTTACTCACCGGCTGCCCGTGGGCAGCCTTTCTCCCAAGCGGGCTCGCAAAGTCGACGACGGCGTGCCAGCCTACCTCATCCCTGGAAAACGACAGCTTTCCGAGTTTGCGCACGGAGGACACGGGAAACAAAGATGCGTCGCTGTATTTGCGCATGGCGGCGGGTACACTCGTGGTGAGGCGAGAATGTACCTCAAGTACATGGAACGGTGGGTAACAGAGGCGGCGAGAAATGGCCTTGACCTCGCCTTTTTCAGCGTCGAGTACCGTGGGTATCACGCAGGCGCATCGTTTCCAGTTTGTGAGCTGAAGTAAACTTTACAGCCCTTTCCACCCAAGAAAGCCACCCCGCGCAGAGAAATACCTTTATCCAGGTATATCGTTTCTTGCTCAACAGCGAGATAGGGCCGGAGAATATCGTCTTCATGGGCGATTCCGCTGGCGGTGGGACATTTCACGCACCCTCCAGCGTCAGTTGCTGACATTTTATCGCAGGTGGACTGAGTATTCTGGCCGGCCTGGAGCTGGGGCGGCTTGACCTCCCGCAGCCGGCTGCGACGGTCTTGATTTCACCATGGGTCGACATGACTTTGAAAGCGCATCGAGGAGGGAATCCAGCCGTGGAGAGCGACTACTTTCTGATGGCTAACAAGACCGTGCCCGCATTGGTGCAGCTTTTCATTGGGGACCGGCCTCCCGACTCGCCCGACATGAATCCTCTGTGTCGCCAGCCTGAAGAGCTCAAGGATCTCAGTCCGCAGCTGATCTTCACAGGAGGTGCCGAGTTCGCGCGTACCGACTCGGAGAAATGGGCAGAGCTGTGCCAGAAAGCGGGTGTGGAACACAAGTTGATTATCGAATGGGCTCAGCTGCACGTTTATGCCGTGGGTTCCAAATTCACCCATCCGGCCGTGCGCAAGAAGACGGACGACATGATCATCGAGTGGGTCAAGGCGCATGTAGCACAGTGATCATCTTATTGGGACAGCAAGCTGCACGGCTGACGGACATTTCTGCTCGACTAAGAAATCCACGTACACAACTTCCTGTAGCCGCCACCTGGACATTTGGCCCAGGCTGCCCAGTATGCAGGCACCAGCTCCACCGAGCTAACCCAAACAGCGGCCAGCCTCGTAGCCTTGCAGATGTCAGTTGGGACTCTCGGAGCAGAAACGGGTATCCAGGTGGGGAAGCCTGCCATCCCGGACCGTCTCGTCTCTGCGACGGTGCCGGTGGCCGAGTGAGAAGCAGGGGTTGGTGGGCCTGGCACAGCTTGGAGACGGCGAGACAGGTCTTGGCGCCTGGCAGGATGAGGGGAATCAAGGGGAATACAATGGGCAATACCGAGGTACAAGTTGAGTTCGGCAGGGCAAATGGTCAAGCCAGGCCGCGGAGACTAGGCTGCAACTCCGATTCCAGGGGTAGATGGATGGAGTAGCAACAGCAACGAAAGCGTGAGTGGAACATCACCTCAACATGATTGAAAACTGAATCCCATTCTTCGTTTGGTCAACCGCAATCTATCTAGTCTCACGACACCCACAAAAATGACTGCAAATGTGACCGAGAGAGGAACAAGACCTGTTTTGGTCGGAAATGTGTCCGGGTCGACTGGGGATCGATTAGATGGTGAGCTGCGAGAAATCGGCAGGCGAAGGCAACGAGATGGCTGAGCGAGACACAGGGTTGAAGTCGATGCTGAAGGGTGCCACGACGGTCGATGCCATCATCGGCGACTGGCTGTCAGAGGTGTTGCGACCAGCCCACGTCCACCGTCTCACTCCCACCCAGTGCTGCTAACATTTTTCAGTTTAATTTGGCATCAAGGTCGCTTCAGGCCCGGGCGGGCAGAAAGGGTGGCTATGAGCCTGGATTCCTGTATTCGCTGAGGGACGCTCTGGACGAATACATCACGTACCGAAACTCGCACCTTCGGATCGCGGTAAATGCGGGGGGCCTCAATCCCCAGGGTCTGGCCGACGAGGTGCAAAAGCTACTGTCGTCTCGAGGCTGCCAGAGGAAAGTTGCCTATGTCATTGGCGACAATTTACTACCACAAATCGACCGCCTCGAGATCCAGCCCTTAACCCGGGCGACGGGGCCGTTTGGGAGCTGGAAACAAAAGTACCCCGACATCATCTTAGCCACCGCCTACACTGGCTGCTGGGGCATTGTGCAAGCGCTGCAGGAGGGCGCCGACATTGTCATCTGCGGACGATGCACCGATGCAAGCACGGTAAGACAGATCGTTCTTTGGCGCAGACTAAAACTAACCGGCCATCTCTACAGGTCATGGGAGTTGCGGCTTGGTGGCATGGCTGGAGCCGGACTGATGTCGATAAGTTGGCCGGCTCGCTGGTTGCCGGGCATTTGATAGAATGTGGCTGCTATGTGGTAAGTCCTCCCCCACCGAATTTCGCTGCCATGCCCAGCTAAGCGGCGTCGTCTTTCGATGCAGACTGGAGGCAACTTTGGAGGGTTTCAGAGCCTCTTTCCGAAGTACTATGACCTCTCGTTCCCGATGGCGGCCATTGCCGTCGATGGGACCAGCGTCATCCAGAAACACAACGACCAGAACGGAATGTACGTGTGGTCCCACTATCCCTGGAGCGTCGTTTGACCAGCCCGGGCTGACAATGGGGCCAGTGTGACGGTCGACACAGTGCGCGGCCAGCTGCTTTATGAAATTCAAGGGCCGTTCTACTACAATCCCGACGTGATCGCCGATCTATCCGGCATACGGTTGGAGCAGGTTGCGCAAGACAAAGTCTATGTCTCGGGGTTCAAAGGTCAGTCTCGCTTGGTCAGTGGGACGGACCATCGCGATTTGAGGAGCACTTGGTTAGACCCTGACTGATGTACGTGGCAGGTATTCTGGCTCCGGAGACGCTCAAGATTGCCGTGATGGCGCTGGCAGGATACCAAGCCGAATTCTCAGTGTACGTGACTGGCCTCGACACGAAAGAGAAGGCTCAAAGCTTCGAGACCATGTCTCGGCGCATGCTGGACACCAGTCAGTATGATGTGCTGGACTTCCAGCTCTATGGATCTCCCAAAGAAGATCCCCAAAGCCAGCTGGAATGTACCTTACAGTTTCGAGTACTCGCCCAAGCCAAGGATCCAAAGCTCTTGAGTGCCGGGCGCTTCCTGGGACCGCTCATGAGCAACCAGTTGTCCGGATACCCAGGTCTCACTGCCAACGTGGATTTCAGAACGGCAGAGCCCAAGCAGCTCTGCACATACTTCCCGGGGCTGGTCAACCAAAGCCATGTTCAGCTCTCTGTCCACTTTGTCTCACCCCTGGTTGGCAAGGGAGAAGGCGTTCTTGTTCCGAGACACGAAGTCTACACGCCCATACATCAACTTCCATCTCAGCGAGACTACCAGCCAACTGATCCGGCACCATTGTCTTCCTTTGGGCCCACCGTCAAGGCCCCGCTCGGGTTGGCCGTGTATGCCAGGAGCGGGGACAAAGGGGCCAATGTCAATGTTGGATTTTTCATTCCACGAGGTCTCCGGGAATCAGAAAAGTATGCGTGGCTGAGGAGCCTTCTCACTACGGACACCCTGAGAGGCAAGTTTCCCCGCCGCCCAGGAAGAATTACTAGAATTGATTGGAATGACTAACGCTCTGACAGGCCTTCTCGCCAGCGAAGCTTCGTCGGAAACATATATCGAACGCTGTGAATTTCCCGGAATCTATGCAGTCCATTTCGTAATCCACGGCCTCCTCGGTGCAGGAGTGAGTACCTCTGTCAAGATGGATGCGCTGGGCAAGGTATGGCCATACTGCGGTCTTGACTCGGGCCCAAGTGAATCTACCCAGCTAATGCCTTTGCGCCAGAACCTTGCTGAGTATTTGAGGGCTCGGCACGTCCATATCCCCGAGAAGTTTCTTGCTAAAGAGGCGGTCTTGTAGACGGCGCATAGACTATTCAAAGCTTTCCACGGCAGCAGGCGAGGGAGGCAATTCTTTATGTTTTGAAGGGCTGAAAAGCACTCGCGATACTACGGGGCTTGTTGACTAGTAGGGCAATTTCTCTTCGTCAAACCAGTAGAATAGACAAGACTCGGTCAGCGTTGTGCTCCGTGGTCGATAAATGTCCCTCTCAACCATCAACGAGGTGCAATTGGTCCTGAGTGCCTGGTGTGGTGCCAAAATATCTTTGTGATGCGAATCGATGGACTTCTGGATTTGCTCCTTGGGACCGGATACCCTTACATCGAATCACGACGCCCGAAATCTCCAGGATCTCGGTTGTGTCGCGCACAGCCTGTGGTGGTTAGGCATCTGCCATGTCGTCAGGTCCTAGGCTGATAGATGGATGGCGGACTGAGCATGATCAGAGAACATTGGAGTCTGTCAGATAGCGATTTCGTGCAGCGGTCAAGAGCCCTGTCACCAAATTTCCCTTGAGCTTTGACAGGTCAGAGGCCCTGACACGCTTGCAGCAGGTGTCCCACTGGAGCCTAGTGAGCCTTGGTAGTTGGTCTGGCGTCGAGCCAAGCTCGAAAACAAACTGCGGCGCCGAACCTAGACAAAGCGAGTGCGGCACCGATACATTCGGATGCGGCTCGGTCGCCAAACGAAAGATGTTCAGCTCTGTGGGCGGTTACATATTAACAAACCTTTGGGCATCGTTCGTCTTCCCAAGGTCCCTGAACGACGACCATGGGGTGATACAACCTCGCGACATCTAGTGCACTGGCTTGTCAACAGCGTTCAGGCATCTATTAAGCGGGGATGGAATAGAGAGCCCTCTCGTCTTCTATGAGTAAAACACTTTGTAACTAGCAAGACTCCCCTGACGTGAAGAAAATGTTCATGGATCAACACGCAGGACAAAGAAAACTGCTAATCCGCCAATGTACGAACGCTAAGATATCTTTTCACCCGGCGCGAGTCTTGATCCCAATGATAACCAAAACTCCTTCCCGGCTCAACCTCCCTCACAGCTTTCCTCGCGCCTTCGCCTCGACGGATGGCAAGGCTCGTCGAATCACCTTCCCACTGCCCGTTCTGGGAATGGCGTCAATAAAGTAGACCCCTCCGGTGAGCCACTTGTGAGGCGCAAACCGCTCTTTGACGTATTCAAAAAGCGACTCAGCCGTAACACGGGGGTTTTGCGAACCACAAAAGCTCTCGGATACTCCGAGCCTTCACTGTTGATTAAGATGTTAGACACGATTGCGCAGAGGGCCAGGGCACAACAAACATCTTGGCTCCCACAACAGCAGCGTCGATAACGTCCGGATGTGCGAGAAGAGACAATTCCAACTCCGCTGGCGCAACTTGGAGCCCTTTGACCTTGATTAACTCCTGCAGAACTGTGAGCAACGCCCTAGCAAGGGGAATCAAGGATGTAATGGGACCAGACCTTGAGCCGGTCCACGATAAAGATGCGACCTCGCTCGTCGATATAGCCTATATCCCCTGTCCGAAGCCAGTGATGGCCGTCTTCGTAGACAATCGTCTCCGAGGTCTCTTTGGGCTTGTGCCAATACCCCTTCATAATGTTAGGCCCAGCCACCCAGATCTCACCGATCGTACGGTTTGCCAAACCGCTCTTTTGGAAGTCTTGGCCGGCCACGGGCACGATTTTTGCATAACAATTTGGGTTCAGCCAGCCAATCGATCGACCGTCATCCTCATCGTCCGGGGCAAACCCAGTGATAGAACAGGTGGTCTCAGTCAAGCCCCAGCCTTGTTTGACATTGACGTTCGAGCGCAGGTATCGATCCTCAACCATTTTCCCCAGTCCGGGATCTAAGGGCGCGGAGCCACTGGTGACGACCTCGACAGCTTTGAGATTGAATCGATGCGGGTTGTCCTGCTTACACAGCATGGTTAAGATGACAGGGACACTGGTCATGAAGGTGATTCGGTATATGTCCAGATAAAGTAGATATTGTACCACATTAAACTTGGCCATGATGAAAACCTTGGCCCCGAGGCGGGCTGCACTGATGGAATAATACGTCTGGCCCTGCGCGACGTGGTTAACCTAATGGCTGGCACGGAGAAGAGATCATCCTACATATGCGTGATACATGGGAAGAGGTGCCAGCCACCGTTCTCCTGACAGATCTAGCCGTGACTTGCGTGCGCGCCCTTGCGGTGTATCGGCCACCAAGTTACGCTTGAACAGAAATTGCGTGGAGTTGGCGACAAGGTTGTAGTGCGAAATCTCAACCCCTTTGGGCAGACCGGTCGTTCTGCTCCTTGTCAGCATGCCAACCGGTGGCTACTCTATTGCCGACCCACCCGCTCGAATAATTGATGACTGCCGTGGTTGAAGCGAGTTCATCCATGCTAGTCATGCGCTTCCACGACCACGAAGCAGATTCCTGAGGTGAGGACCAAAGCTTGGTCCATGGTTGAAGCCGGCCAGAGAGTTGACTTGGGATGTTCTCATCCAGGTCGCCAAAGAGATAGATCTGAGTCGTTGGCAGGCTCGCTCGGGCCGCGGCCTTTAGGGCAACACAAGCACCGTCGTGGTGTGAGAGGAGGAGCTTCGCACCCGAGTCTCGCAGCTGGTATTCGAGCTCTTGGCAGGCGCAGTTCAGTCAGCGGTCCGCACACCCATGGAGCGCACAAGAGCCTTACCAGTGACAGAGGCAGTGGGCGAGGCTGCCGTGAAGATGCAGCCAGCCGCAATGGTCGCCCACAGCACGATGGGGAAGTATAGCCGGTTGTTCGAGTACAACAGAACCCTGTCTCCTGCTTGCAACCCGAGCTTTTGCAGGCCTTGGCCAACCTGTTTGACATAGCCCTCGGCGTCGGCCAAGCTGAAGCATTTTGCAGGTCTCGCAGCGTCAAAGTATTGTGGTGCCTGACGCGACGAGGGCGTGCCAGACGAGAACACGAACGAATTCACATCGACAAGAGGGATGCTGACGGAATAGGGTGATTCTATCATCTTTTTCTCGTCACCCGTCTCTCTGCCTCTTTATTTCGTACTGCCTAACGAGGGGCAGTTGCCGTGATCGAGGAATACTTGACTATCTCCCGGTGCTCACAGGTGTCGAGACAAAATCCTCGCCTAGAAATCGTCGGCCATCACCACGAGCGGTTGGCATCCAGTCTGTTAAGTAATACCCCTTTTCCCTCCTGGGCGACATCCCGCTAACCAGTGCGTAGGACAGGGCGCACTCTTGACCTGATATGCCGAGTAATATCTTTTCCAGGGTCAGAAGGGGAATAACCCATCTTGTGGAAGCCTAGCCGAGGGACTTGGTAGGGTGTTCCGGGGTCTCGGTGCCGATTCATGTGGAAGGGGAGGGGCGGCTGACTGACCACCTCGTGTCGAGTGACGGGCATGCCAACACCTACCTATGGGACTCGCCGAGGGTCTGTATGTTGAGACTGTTTAAGCAGGACCATGGTTCGCTTCTTGCGTCTTTGTCGTTTTGGAGGAACTCAAAAAATGGCGTCAGTTTCTGTGCCCGAAAGCAAACCCTACTCGGTTCCTGAGGAGAGCAAAAAAGTCCTCCGCGATGGACTTGTGAACAATCCTCGCCACAAGACGCTGCCTGGGGAATGCAAGGACATGCTCGACTATGTCGAGTACGTGGGCCAGGACCAGCCGAGAATAGCCATCAACTGGCGGTTCGCAGAAAGCGTTGCTTCTTTGAAAGGGCTGGAAGCCATCCTGATCAACGTCCTGCTGACCAGAAAGTACGGGATAGCACCTCAGAAGGTCATCATCAATACCGACCATGCCCAGCTGTTCTTCATGTCCGCGCTCCTCCTCCAGGTGGAGCCTGCAGAAGGCAGTCCGTTGCAGCCGACGCCAATCCGCGGCCTGACCGCCAAGTACGCCCAATATTTCCCCAATGGCGACCTTCACCAGATGGCATCGTCATTCTACCGCCGCGCTGCTACCAACACCTACAGGGCCAAAGATGGACGTTTTTTCCACCTGCATGGCAGCCTCAATCCAGACCCTTCGATCGACGCTCTCGGATTGCCCCGGGACCGACAGGATATCAGCACGGATGAGGATGCGTGGGCCGTGTTTGCGGCCAAGATCGGAGAACAGGATGCCGCTGCATGGGATCATCTGCTTGGAGAGGAACACCGACAGGCAGCCACCATTTGCCTGTCCCCAGCCGAGTATGCCAACAGTGCTCAAGGGAAGGCCAACGCAGACACCGGTCTCTACAACGTGTATCCTCGGCGAGATCCTCCTCTACGGGCGGGCTGGTGGAAGGATTCACCCTTGACATCTGCACGGCGCCCGCTGGCCGGTCTCAAGGTTGTCGAATTCACACGAGTGATTGCAGGTCCCGCCATTGGCCGAGGTCTGGCGGAGCTGGGCGCGAGTGTGATGAGAGTAACGTCCCCAAACCTCGCCGACTTTTCGGGTCTACAGCCCGACCTAAACTGGGGGAAATGGAACTGCCACCTCGACTTAAAGAAAGAAGAAGATCGGTCAAAGCTTCGCGAATTGTTGTTAGATGCCGACGTGGTGATCAACGGGTACAGGCCCGGCGTCCTCGACAAATACGGAGCCGGGTACGAAGATGTATCGAAGATAGCCAACGATCGCGGGAGAGGGATTATTTACGTCCGCGAAAACTGCTTCGGATGGGCTGGTCCGCTGTCCCACCGCAGTGGCTGGCAGCCGATCAGCGACGCACACAGCGGCGTATCTATGGGGTTTGGACGGGCCATGGGAAACGACGAACCGGTCACTCCGGTCTTTCCAAACTCTGACTACTGCACAGGGATTGCCGGAACGTGTGGAATTCTTCAGGCGCTCCTGGAGCAAGCCGAATATGGAGGCTCATACCTCGTTGACACAGCCCTTGACTACTACAACAGGTGGCTGATTGAAGAGGTCGGAGAATATCCTCCGCAGGTGTGGGAGCGTCTCTGGCAGCGTAACGGCCGGGCGGTCTTCCGACATTTTCACAGCATGAACTATTCAATCCCTCGGTATATCGAAATGATGAAATCCCAGGACCTGTTCGACCTCCGGTTCTTTGAGATTCGAGTATCAAAAGCCCTTGGTGGCTTGAAAATACGCGCCCCGAAACCGATCCTACAATTCCCTCCGGGAACCGTCGAACTGGGTTACAACGTTGGTACCAGGGGAAATGGAACCGATCAGCCCCGGTGGCCAGACGATGCCGAAACAGAGGTAGTTCTCTAGGCAGAACACGATCAACAGAAGATAGATATCGACCAGAATGGGCATAATCCACCCACTGGTGGCCCTGATTGGCCCAAACCCTGTTAGAAGGTCACGTAGTGTTGGGCATATAGATACAACATCGATTCACTCGAGAATGCTCTCGAGTGATCAATCCATCACGGATTCGATGACAACATCAAAGCCCCTTGGGGTCTTATGCGGACAGTTATTCAACAGGCACAGAGATCTTGCTGTCTAGTGCGTATGACTGAGCGGAGCCTAAGGAGCCACCATCAGCATACAGGATGTAGGATGCGCGACGCGCTCATCCTTCAAGTGCCGAGGTGGAAGAGACACAAAGCGACATTGGGGTGGCCCAGTACGCCTTCTGCTTTTGGAGCTGCTGTCGGCAGTTGTGGATACGCTCAAAGCCAATCAATGAGAAGCGAATGTCGTGGAGTTCGTTCAGGTTGTCCGTCCAGCATCGTTTCCGGCTTCGTCGTCGGAGTCTTGCATTGGCTGCCCATCGTTCGGCATGGATAATCCGGCAAAGGGCGCCTGACCGCTGGTGTCTGGTATCTTTAGCGCCTCCCAGTTCGCAGACGAGCTAATCAGTCAGGCAGACCGACGAAAGGCCAGGGCGAGTCATTGCATTACAGCGTTGGCCGCGTCTGTTACCCACGTCGTGGCGTCCGAGCGCAAATATCTGGTTTTTAGTCTGCCATCTTCGCGACAAGGTGCCGCCGGTGGAAAATAGAAGCGGGATATCGCGCCTCATACCGAAAAGGTAGTTCGCACACTGGACCGAGGCGGCTTTTTGTGGTGTGACTATCGGCCCTCTTGACAGCAGTGATGCTATATTGACACCGAGTGATAGGGAATATGGTTAGCATGGTCAGCACAACGAAGCAAGGGCGAGGGAGGTCTCCCTGTAGGTAGACGAGACAAGCATCAGCAAGCGTCGAATTCCGGCGCCGAAGTCGACCAGTGCTGTGGGGCGGATCGAGTATCAGAATTGCAAGATCGCCACCGTGATCGACGTTGCCAGTTTGATCGCTAGCGCCATCAACACCATTTCCATGACTGCCACTGTTGATCTGCAAGAGCGAGAGGTTGCCATGTAATCTTCAGCAACGGCCTTCTCGTCACAAGCCAAAGTCTATCGGTATATGAGGTAGACAGACAGAGTCTCGTTGAGAAGATAGTTCAGAAGACACATCTCGGAAGATAGATCAATGCCATCTGTTTACTTGACGGTTCTTTGTCTTACAGGTGCTTTCGGCGCCGGGCATCGTAGCTCCATCCCCAGCTTCATTAAGTATTGCAGAGCCTAAGAAAGAGCTAGTCGCAGCTCAGCCAGCGGTACAGATTACGCCCACTGCTACTTTGGATTGTGGCACGCTCCCAAATCCGGTGGACTCTCCAGTACGTATTACTATATATCTAACAAACGAAAGGCTACGGCCCCGGGTCTACAGCACAGTCGATAACCCGTCGATCTGTCCTGCCAGCACAAGTTGTCGGCTTCCGGCAGACTTATAGCAAGGGCTGCTTCCACCGTGCTCTCTACGGCGCTCGACGGCTGGTCTCAATCTTCCCTACTATTCACGTCAAAGTGACTTTCTCAGCCATGGCTAAAAAGGCATTTGCCAAGGACGGTGTGAACCTGTACCCGGTCTGCCTCCTTTGTTTCATTGGCTTGAGCTCTCTATCCTTCTCTTACACGTCTGCGGTTATCGGAACGCTGCTAGGTGTTTCCTTTGCGATGGATTTCTCGGAGATAAAACGATGACTCTCTACCAGGCCAACCGTCCTTTTTGGAATATTTCAGACTGGAGACCGCCTCCAATGGAACCGACCTCGAGTCCACGATGAACGGTATCTACCAAACCGGAGGCGTCATAGGAAGCCTGCTACTGCCGTGGGTGGCAGACAAGTGGAGAAATGGTCGCTCACCATTGTTAGTGGGCTCGCCTTCTCCCTGACATTTGAGAGCCGTGTTAACACCTCGCCAGCCTGCTATCCTAATTCTCATCTCCGGTGCCGTCATGACGGGAAGCTCGCACGTGGCGGAATTCATTGTGTTCCGATTTTTCGCTGGTGCTGGCGCTTGGATGGCCGCGGCAGCCTCGCTGGTAAGGACGCCCTCGCATCCCCAATCCCACTACTGCCTACCGAGTCTCACCATGAAATTAGCTGATGATGAGCGAATTGGTGCCGGCCAATCTTCGAGGCAGACTTGTTGAACTCCACGGGAACTTTTTTCAATGGGGCTACACCTCGTCTGCCTCGATTGGCTTTGGGTGCTTCTTCTGGGCCAACAACAGCCGAGCATAGAGGCTGCCTGTGGCCATACAGTGCCTCTGGCCGCTTGTCTTCCTGTCAGGGCTCTATTTCTGCCCTGAAATCCCCAGGTAAGTGCCCCAGGAATAGGCCGGATGGCGTTGCTGGACTCATGCTCGACAAAGGTGGCTGGTCCTGCAGGGCCGTGACGACGAAGCAAAGGGGGATCTCGAGAAAATACACACCCGCTCATCAAAGGGGCGCAATCTTGCCGACGCCGAGCTCCTTCAGATCCAGAGGCAGGTCATGATCGACCGGGAACTGGATTCTTCCTGGGTCCAACTCTTCAAGAAGCCGTCGTACAGAAAGCGGACATTCCTTGGGATCGGAACCACTGGAATCGTACAATTTGCTGGTGTCTTGGTCATCAACAGCGAGGCTCCTCTCTCCCCCTTCTCCCTCTCCCTCTCCCTTTGCCAAGACAAAAGTCGCAAACGGATAATGCTAACCTGGGGCAGACTACGGACCCGTGATCTACGGCCTCCTCGGTTACGACGAGCAGAAGCGACTTCTCTATCCCGCCATCTGGGTGACCTTTGGCTTGGGCCTGTTCTTCGTAGCACTGTATCTTGTCGACCTCTTTCCACGGAACCGACTGTTGGCATTTGGCATGTTTGACTGTACAGCTACATTGGCGGTCGAAGCGGCGCTCATTGCCAATTTTGTTCCCTCTACGAATACCCCCGCCCTGAAAGCCGCGGTCGCAATGTTTTACATCTACTAGTTGTTCTATGCCATCTGTGTCGACGGTTTCTCTCGCCCAGACATGCCCTTGTCACGACCTGTCCTCCTGACTGACGTGAGTAGGAGTTCAATTCACCTATCTGGGTGAAATCTTTCCAACCCACCTTCGCCCCAAAGGCGTCGGTCTAGGAATCGCCACCATGTCTGATGAATATCATCTGGTTGCAGTCCGCACCAACCCCACTGAAGTGAATCCTCCCTGTCCCTGCAAAGCGTCACAGTCCTGCCTAACCATGTCAAAGAAACATTGGGCCGAAATTTTTCTTGATTTTCATCATTCTGAGCGCCATGGGGAGTGCCCTCTTCCTGGTCTTCTGGTCTGACACGAGAAACATGCCCTTGGAAGAGATAAGCGCTCTCTTTGGGGACAAGATGAAGTCGCTGCTTATCAGGATGAGCTCGAGATCGACCTGACCACGCATATTGCACATGATCGTCAAGGTCCAACGACGATCAAGTCTGACAAGGCGAAATATATTGAGCTGTCGGAGTCAGTCCTTGTTGACAAAGCTTAGAGGATGAACAGCCCGTGGTATCTCTGTGGCCGGGAGTGGGTTGCGGAATCCCTTCGGCAGCGTCATGGACCTCAGGAGCGTAGCCTTTGTGAAATCATCATCTTGGTATTCGGCGGCGACACAGGGCAAGGGAGCCGAAGTGCGTGCCAGGGACTGTCTAGGCCTCGCGCCGACCTCGCGAGGCTGGTGATCTCGGGGGTGCCAAGGGGTGCCGAGCGTGCATAGCAAGATGGGTGATTACTAATGCGCCATAGCGGGCCAAGACATGTAATGACGGGGTCCAGGGTCAATCTTGGAGCAAATCGGGAATTGTACTGTACGAGCCGAGGAGCGAAGAAACTAATACTTGGCGAGTCAGTACGAGCAATACGAGGTAGTTTGATGAAGTCCCATGCCCTGTTGAAGAACGATCAGCCCTCCGTGAAATTACGCGGGCTAAACACGTCGACGAGCCTTAAACTATAGGTATTCAGGCACCAGGGAGCAACAGACGGCTTTCAACCGGTCACATTTCTCTGTTGATGCAATGGGTCACTGAGATATGTCTGAAAGACCTCTGGTGAGAAAGCCAAAGGCCTGTGTGCCATGTCACGAACGCAAGGTTAGATGCGACGCGACGCAAGTTGGATGTCCTTGCACCAAGTGCATCAGAAGCAACTACACCGAGCGATGTCAGCTCTTCGATGCGGTGAGGATGTAAGTCCCCGTCAAAGAGTCACAGTCTCGAGAGCCGGAAACTGACTGAGCGCAAGGCGGAGGGAGAAACACAAGAGAACGGTCGATGAGGCCTTTCCATGCACCTCGGCTGAAGATGGACGTGACGTTCCAGGACGATGTCCTCGCCCCGAACTACCTGCTGTAGCTCGGACAGACGACGACACACCCAATTTACACTCGACACACGCTACGCCCTTGAACGCCGTCAGCTTTGACCCAGTGGCCCAGCCAACATCAAGAACAGCCCAGCGAACGATAGGGAACAGACATCACATTCTCACCAAAGCCCACGAAAACAGGCCTACAGGAGAAAGCGTCGAACTCGACATCTCTCGGCACGTTTCGCAGTGGTCTGCCGACGGCGCTTCACCGGAGCAAAACGATCCCCATCACCAAAGTCGGGAGGTTATCGAGTATCATGAAGGAATTAACTCGTCGACAATTTTGGGGGATACCTTCGGCACCAAACCTCAGGGATTCGTGCGAATTACAATCCGCAATCCCGAGACACGCTTCCAATGGAATAGTTTCGAATTGGACGACTCTGACGCCCAATATTTACAGCGGAAAGGTGCATTTATAACTCCTGCCCGGTCAATATGGTAAGTGTGAGTCTTTTGCTCTGGGAATCAATGTTCGCTGAGCACATGTCGAGAATAGCGATAAATTCATCCGCCTCTATTTTGAACGCATCCATCCATATGCTCCTATCCTCGACCGAGCTCAATTCCTCCGCGACTACATGAACGGAATAGGCTCCACGTTCCTCATGCATTCGATCATGGCGAACGTTGTGCCATATGCCCCGATAGGACTTCTGTCTGAGGCAGGGTTCTCGGATCGGCTTATGGCACAAATGTCCCTATGCACAAAAGCACAACTACTTCACGACTTCGGCGTGGAGAAATCACAGCTGAGTATCTTGCAAGGCTCTTTTCTCCTGAGCTCGTTATTTTCCAGCCCCTTGGCTCACAGAGACTATCGATATTGGTTTATGAATGCCGTGCGACTGGCCACACAAATTGGGATCGACAAATACTGCACGGCGACCCACCTTGACCTGTCCACTCGGCAGTCTTTCCAGCGTATATGGTCGGTGTTATACATCCGAGATGTGCAGCTTACCTTGTCAGGGCTCAGCAACGTGAGGAGAATCATCGATGAGAATTGGAAGCCAGCCGACGTTACGGAAGCAGATGATGGGGACACTGAGGAATTAGTCGCGTTTGATCACTTAGTCCCACCCCTCACCAAGCTTCAAAAGGTATATTTTGCTCAGGCGGGCATGTTGGCGAGTTTAGGTTTGTGGTACCCTTATTGTCGATCTGTCCGCCTGGAAGCAGAACAAATCTAATTGACCGATATAGGAGCTCGATTCTTACAGATTTTCAAGACACAAGGACGGCCGCCAGCTAAGGAAGCCTGTCAGGATTTTGAAAAGAGTCTCTCATCCTGGCGGAAGGCTCTACCGACGGAGATGCACACTGAGAATGTTCAAGAATGGTCAGCCGGGAATGTCTGGGCTTTGGTGCTCCGAGCAACCAGCTATCGGTTAGAATGTGGCTTCTATCGATTGCTTACCCGGTATGATCGCACCACTGGGGACCAGGCCGTGCAACATGCATCTCTTAAGCAGCAGAATGCTATATTCGAACTGGACACCGTCATTGAGCGCATCATGCTCCACGGACTTATCGAGTACTGCCCGCTGTCTGTGTATGTCAGCTCTTGCCATGTTGCATTGCTCAGCGCCCAAGTTCTGGAGGGCCTCTGCTTACTAGGTGCATAGATTCATGTGCGCTTCCACGACCTTGGCGATGCATGTCGAGACGGCGCTGAAAACATTCCCCAATAGTCATCAACGTCTTGCGGCGCAAGCTCGTATTCACACCAGCCTTCTCTTCCTCGCGGCGGGTGGTGAGACCTGGCCCCATGCACGGCGTATCCTTAAGGTCTTCGAGGTCATCTTGGCTCGGACGAACCTCTCTCTCGATGGGACCGAGAAGGCGAATGCGGATCCCAAATCTACGCATCCCTTTCGCCAAGCTAACAATGAGAAGCAGACCGAAGTCACCGGGTCTAGTAACAACACCAACGATCCAAATTCGGGTGCAAATCCAGGCTCATCCGACCAGGACCGCGGCCCCGATCCCAGACCTCGCCACCCACGCGCACGCACGAACAGCTTTGCTGTCGATTCAGTACTGCCCGAATATGAGCCCCTGTTCGGCCAGGCCGCGGACGCACAACCCGAAGAATGGCTGCAGGACTTTCTCGAGCTAAACTACGTGGGGATTTGATGGGCCTGGGGAAGAAAGTAAACATATCCGTCTGGCGTCAGGCAGACAGGGACGGAAGAGACTACTCAGGATCGGACGAAGCGACTCTGTTCCTGCCTGCAGTAACATGTAGATGAGGAGAAACAAGCCACCAGCGATGAGCGCGAGACTTTTTTGAAGGCCGCCACTGCGCTCCCCACCCTTCCTGTTACGCTGGCCTGATACGCCACCAGTCAGTGTGCCGTTCGAGTGCGAGGGTATTGCCCGTAGCATACAAATACACGGAAATAGGGAGGGTGATCGGCAAGCAGGAGTGTTGCCCGTCCGCACCGAATATCCGTATTTCACTCCATCGGCACACGTGTCTCCTCACGGGCGCCGGGTGGCAAGGCATGGAGTGACCGGCTCCAGAGCCTTCAAGCTAAGCTTGCACTATGCGAGGTATAATGGCTACCGACCCTGCAACTGGAGAGAAGTTGGGATGGCGGCCTTGACCTCGCGACAAATGCTACATCGAACGTGTAAGCAGAGCGATTTCAGAGCCTTTCTACCTCTTGAAGACGGACACTAATCGAGATTGCTTCCCAGTGTGGAAAAAGGCGGGCTGATTGAATTAAGGTCAATCGATATATATCAGACAAATGGTGGATATTTGGAAAGTATACAGGAAAATCAAGGGTATCTCTGTGAAACAAATTAATTACATCCGTTGCCGTGCCCTCTCCACCCCCTTGGCCGACCAAAAAGGATCCCAAATTCTGGAGTTGATTGATCCTTAACATTCATTCGTGGTGTTTCATATCTTCTTCCGTGATTTAGTGTCATCATCCGCCTTCCACCAGACCAAAACCAAACGCCGATGCCATGCTTAAGAAGCTGCCAAAATTTGACATCCTACCCCGATTCAAAAGAGCTTCCTGGATAACTGTTCGTCCGGTGCTCGTGCTTTTTCCGCCGATGGCACGCGGTCCGTCTCCGATGTTTGGTGTCACTCAAAGTGCGAGGACAACCAGCCCTGCCAATGGAAAGGGAGGTCTGGTATATCTCATGCCTGGCCGTCTTTGCCAGACCCATGCGTATTCCTGTAATGACTTGCAAAGTAAGTCATCTGGGCAACCAAAATAAAGTTGAAGCCCGATGCTTTTTAAAAACAGAGCTCTGTGGTGAGTCAAGCTAAGAACCCGTACTCTCAGGCATAGCGATCAGTCCATGTCTCCGGCGTCCGTTGTCGAACTCGACTTGTCGCTGGCTTCTCATCTTCTTCTCGTTCGGTCTCATCATCATCTTCGTCCGACTGCAGCTCCACGTATCTCTCAGCGTCTGGTCACTCTCTTCCGCCCTCTTCGTCACACAAAGAAGGGCAAAATAGGGATGATCTTCGAGAGAAGAAATAGTGAGACTGGGGCAGGCAAATGACAGGATCTATGCTCTGGAAGCGGTGAGACTCACAGCTTGGGTCCTAGGTCCTC